AAGTATTGGAAGATATTGCCCAGAGATATGGTCAAGTTGCTGTCTCTTTGGGATGAATTAGGGATCCCTTACGAGGAGTGGAAGCAGATTTATGGGTCACCCCTTCCGGTCATTGGTTTTGATGTTGACCCAAATCAGATGCGCATTACGTTGCGAGAGGAGTCAAAAGCATCTCTGGTATTGGAGTTACGAAGCTTTGCAAGACACAAGAGCTGATGAACCTTACGAGAATGCGAGCAAGTCGCAGGATCCCTCAATTGGGCTCTCAACATTTGTCCCCTGCTCCATCCAGGTCTTTCAGCCTTGTACCAAAAGATGAAAGGAAAAGTCAACTCACACAGCCTCATTTGGTTGAATCGAGATGTTGTCAGAGAAGTTCTTTGGGTAGCAACCCATTTGCAGCAGTCCGATGGAGTATATCTCCTCAAATCTGTTTCTTGGGACTTCTCTCAAGTTTCAGATCGAGCTCTTAGGGTCTATTGTGATGCCTCCGGAATGGGAATGGGCTTTTGGTATCCCTCCTTAAACCTGGCTTTCACAGCTTCACTTCCAACTCACGCCCCAGTGCAAGACATATTTTTCTTCGAGTCACTTTGCGTATGTTCAGCAATTCACGATGCCGTGTCATGCCTGTCACCTGGAGGATGTCTTGCAATTTTCACAGATAGCCTGAACACAGTTGCAATGTTCAACTCATTGAATGCTCCCCCTGGGTTTAACTCTCTCCTTCTTTACTCTGCGGATCTCATCCTTGCTACCTTTATCGATTTTCGTGTCTTTCACATCTCCGGTGACCAAAACATCATTGTGGACCATCTTTCTCGTAATAGGTCTCAGGAAGCCCTGAAGTGTAATCCCTACCTTCAAATCTTCCATTTTGAACCCCCTCGGGATGCGCTGGGGGTGCACAACAAATGATTCCAAGAACTTGTCATACCAAGCAGCCCATCCAGGAAGCCTGGTCTCTGGAACATCTCATTCATGAGCGTTCTATCAATCTCAGAATGACTCTTGAACGCTCAACAAACCATTCATATTCCTCAGCTCTCAACTCTTACATCACATTTTGTGATCTACATCACTTCTCACTCGAACCTACTCCTGATACTCTGTCTTATTTCGTCACATACATGTCAGCCCATATCAATCCACACTCAGTTGACAACTACCTGTCAGGTATCTGTAGCCAACTCGAGGAGTTCTATCCTACTGTTTGTTCTGTCCAACATTCTCCACTTATCACTCGGACTTTGAAAGGCGCGAAACAACGTTATGGAGTGCCTGTGAAATGCAAACTTCCTTTGACACTTGCGGATCTGAAACTTATCCACGACAACCTTCCTCATCCCTTTTCCTTTGACGACAAACTTTTTCTGGCTCAACTTATGGATGGTTTTCATGTGCTGCTTCGGCTTGGCGAATTGGTGTGGCCTGACAGCAAAACATTGCAGCAACACCAAAAATTGTCACTACACACTTTGGTTGTCATGGAAAATGACTACCATTCATTCGTCCTCTGTACCCACAAATCAGACCTTCAATTCGAAGGAGCAACTATTGTGATCCATCGATCATCTCGTGATCCGGACCCTCACCTGATCTTCAAACAGTATCTTCAATCTCGGGATAACCTTTTCCCATTTCATTCAACTCTGTGGCTTTGTTCTGACGGTTCTGTACCAACTCACTCTTGGTTTTTGCGCAAACTGCGTCAGTTTTTCCCATCCACAATTGCTGGTCATTCTATGAGAGCTGGGGGTGCAACTTCATTAGCAGCCAGAGGAGTACCATCACATCAGATCCAGGCAATGGGTCGCTGGTCGTCTGAAGCTTTTTGTGGCTACATTCGGAAGAATCCTGCACTTCTTCACAGTCTTATTTTCAATGGTTGGTCCGCACACAACAGCTGTGATCCATTTGCAGCTGTCTCTTGATTTGGTCTGTTTGGTCATATGTGCGTGTTTCTCATCGTTTACACTCATACTTTATTCTTTTACTTATCATCCCATCTCATACACTCCCTAGTATCTTCACCCCAATTTCTTAATCACCACCCTCCCTCCAAAATGTAACACTTTATAGCACTCACCACACACAAATTCTCTCCAACTCTTCAGTTTAGTCCCGTTTTTTCGAGTGTTTTCACCTTGTCGCCGATTTCTTTGTACTTATTTACTGCGCTCAATTTTCATGGGTTCTTTCGCTGCTCTCGCGCGAAGGACCCTCTTGCTGGCTAATCCTCACAGCCTGTGCTCTCGCGAGGCCAAGTGAGATCAATTAGACAATGCTAATATTCTTGTGGTATGTAATTTGCAAGTGTAAGTGCAGGAGTGTGTTTTAACTTGTCTCATGTCTTGTTGAGTTCTTTGTGGTCAAGGTTTTTTTGATCACAGTCAACTCAATGGCTATGAACTCTGCTCTCTGCAATTGTCAGAAGAGCACTACCATTATCAACCAAGTCCAAATCTGACAGTGGCATTTAATGAATCCTGAAAATGTGTGTCAGAGATCCTGTCATATCCCACATTTCTGGACCTGGAACTCCAGATCCTCACTTGTTAGACCCAGACTTTCATCCTAATTTCCATCTGGCGCTCCAGTTTCATCTCCAGGTCTAAACCTAACCTTACACCCATCTCCTTTTAGATTATTACTTTCTGGCTACCAGTTATACTCCTTTCTGCCTTGCTTACTGATCTGTTTCTCTGTATTCATTTCCAACTCGATTTCTTTTGATTTGTTATAGACTTACTATCATGAATTCCCAATACAAACCATTTTTCGTTTCTTGGCTTTTCTCTGGTTACTTCTCGTTCCCAAAGTGGTCACGTGATTTCACTTCCTGTCACATTTTTACCTCCTCACATTTCACCTATTGTATCTGTGATTGGTTCTCCTACTCCACGGGCTAGAATCATCTCTCTTCCTATCACTTAATTTCTGTCTATGATATCATTGCTTATATATCACAACATCATGCTACGTCATCTGCAGTTATTGTACAACTCTTTTCTCATTGGCTGATTTGTTTCATACTCAGATATCTCCAATTCAATGTTATGTATATAAGTAGGTTAGTTAGCATAAGTACTCCTTAGACTTAACCTCTTTGTTTCTACACTTGTAGTAGACTCAGATGTTCATGCTCAATCCTATCTTATTCTAAACATCATCTATGACTGAGTCCTAGTGGTTGTGTTCTTGCCTTTGCCATTTGGTGAATGATGGTTATAACACTTACTAATAGACTTTCCACATGCTTTGTACATAGCCTTTTACTATGCTGACTGATTACTTACTCGATACCTACAGTATATAAACTCCTGTAATACTCCGTACCTCCTCAGTTTGAATATCATCTTAGTTCCTGCTCATTCCTATTTCTCCAAACTTGAGTCTCTTCTCCTGTCCACCTCTGAGTCTTAGGTTTAATCCCTTAGACTATATCTCCGGCTCTACCTTAGGGTAGTCTACCTCCATTCTGTTTCTACTCCAGACTTGTCCATAGTAGTCTTACTCTAGCTCCTCCTGAATCTCTGGAGTTCCACTGAACTCCCCCTGTGTCTGACCTCTGGACTTCTCCAGACTTTGTTGGACTTCTCTTCTACCTCTCGGAAATTAAGGGCACATACTTGGGTAAGGGGCGCAGTGCATGAGCTGAAGCCAAGCACTTTGAGTTCTCTTCCCCTTGAGCACGACCTTAACAGATCCCTCTCATACAGTGTGTTATTCTTATTGTTAACAGAACAAGAGTCCCTGGCCAAAACCAACTATCAAGTTTCACAACCTCAATGAAACTATTTTTGGCCAGGAAATTGATGGAAACAAGAGTAAAGCAGGTGATGGTTCCAACAAGGATTCAGATGCATGGCTTGATGGTTGCATTGATCTCATCAATGAGGATGACCCTGGATATCTGCACTGCAGTCACTGGGTGTTTATTGGCAGTAAGGATGCTCGTCTAGATGGTCCTGAGCTCCTGGACCTTCTCTCTGATAAGGCAATCAAGATGGGGGCTCAAAATCAGTCATGAACACCTGGGCCATCTTCAGAGGTAGCTGATGGTGGTCCCATAGCCTGGAAGTTTAGCTTTTCTCAAACTCTGTACCACAAAATCACAATATGGTTGGTGTCAAAAACTTGTCAAAAACTAGTTAAACTCAATAACTGGCCTGGGGATACCCTCTGTCCAAAACTTGTCCAAAACTTGGTGGGGAGTTTTTCACAGAACACTAAAACACATGCTCATGACTTCCATGGACATTCTGGAAGAAAGGTCTGGCACTGACTTTGTTTCCCTTTGAGAACTAGGGTGCAGTGAAAAATCATCCTGCCAGTTAATAACTGGGTTATTAATGTGGGAGGTCATGTCTCTATTATTAACTGACCATTTATAACAGTTTTCAACAGTGTTAGGTACCATGCTCAGACAGAGAAGTGGAGGGGTTGGGGCTTGGTTTCACCTCTTGTGCTGTGCCCTTAGCCAAGTATGTGCCCCAAATTTGGAGTGGGACTGATGTTGTCCAACAATAGGATGAGAGGACCACTTTGGACCACTTTGAGAGTCAGGGAAGTAAAGGCTACTAGCGGTGGTCCGACTAGTAAGTGGGCAGAGAGGCATAGTGTTTTAAAGTCCGGTCCGGTCCGGTTTTTTTGACCATTTTTGGTGCAACCGGACTTGGACCAGTCCTAATTCTAGCTGTAGTCACACAAAACTGGACCGAACTCTCAAAAACTAGTTTCCTTCAGTTGCCAGACCACATTACAGCTGGTTGCTACCAGTCTTTCGAAAACCAGGTCCAAAGCCAGTCCAGGACTGGCCAGAACCGGTCTGGACTTAGTCACATAGGAACGTGTTCCACACGTTGTTGTATTGTAATAATTCTATAAGACATTAACTACTAAAGGGACTCAAATTGTCTTCCCACTGCCTTGACCTACTGTTCAACCTAGCTATGAAGTCTACCCGCATCTGACGACCCACAGAAAAAGTTGTTGCAATGGCATCTGCCAAAGCCAAGCACTCGCAGTCCCCCAAGAGAAAGCAAGCATCCCCAAAAGGAAGAAATCAGAAACAGAAGGCTGTGTCAAGTGATAGTGAATCAGAAACCAGTGAGAGCGAGTCTGAACCAAAATGCACCTCAAAAAAGAAGCCTCAAGGTCCCGTAAAGTCGAAACGTGCACGGCGAAACATGATTGACAAGACTGTACATGAGAGCGAGGCGAGTGAAGAAGTGATTGAAATCGAGCCTCTTGTTGGAGATGCTGAAGACGAAGAGGTAAGACTTGTGTAATTGAAACCTGTATATTGGATGTCAGCTCAACATCACTGGATGTTAAGACTGTGCTCAGGGGTAAGGCAGAGTCTGAGGGGCTTGGCTTCAGCTCGTGCACTGCGCCCCTTACCCGAGTACATGCCCCTAATTTTAGAATGTAGTCCGACATGAGTTCTATGAGTTCCGACAGGACGTTGGAATGGGGGTCCTCTGAAGGAGGACTGATGGACTACTAGGTGAGCATGGGAAAGTCGGGTGGGGGTTGTTCTGCCTGACAGGAGAGAGGTTGAAGGCTACCACGGTCAGAACCAACAGTAGAAGCGGAGCAGAAAGAACTGCTCAGACAAAGTCCAAAGCAGAGCGGAACAAAGGGGATGGATGTAGCAGGGTACTGGGATCAGTTCCGATGCATGGGAAAGGCAGCCGATGCATGGGGAGTTGGATGAGTGGAGGAACAGAAGAATGGAGGAACAGGGGAACAGGGGAACAGGGGAACAGCAGAACAGCAGAACAGCAGAACGGAGGAGCGGGGGAGCGGCTGACCTAGGGAGTCAATCCCCTAGGTCAGCAAACAGGAGTTGACTTGGGTTAAGCCTAAGTCAAGGAGCAGAAGAGCAGGGCTTAGAAAAGGTAATATTCAGACTAAGGATCTACAGACAGATGTACATATGCTTATATACTCTAAGTAAGTAGCATAGCATAGCAGAAGGATATGTGCTGAGTGTACAGGATTACAAGAGAGATGACTGAGACATACGAGAAGAGGCTCAGAGAATAGTATGTACGTGACGGATCAGAAATCACTCGGGTATAGGGATTACCGGTGATCTGAAAAGCGGAACTATGATACTAAACAGAGATAGGACCAGTTGAGTGGTTCCCAGTCTAGGAGTGGACTGGTGAGGCGGTTGGGCAGACTAATCGTTGGGTGGGGCAACATGAGCGGAACTGAAGGAACCAAGTGGGTCAGAAAAGCGGAGGGAGTAGGAATAAGATAGGGCGGACCAATAGGGCGGAGGAGCAGAGCCCCAGATAGGGTCAGATGGAAGGGGTATAGTGTTGGAGGACATAGGGGTAGTGTTGGAGGAGTGGAACGGGGTCAGGTGGAAGTAGCAGGGCTAGTCCTGCTGAGATGCACTTCATGCATTGTCAGAGAAGGAGGGATGGAGCAGATGGGAAAACAGGGGGTCGGACCAATAGTAGGGATGTTGTTGCAAGGATCTCAAAGCCCAAATGCGGGTGAGTACTGGTACTGCTCTATATTATTTTGAAGTGTCTTGCCGAAAATTTACAGGCTACAATAACTGGCCATGTTTCATCAACAACAGACTTATGGTCTGTTGATCAGACGAAGGCTGCATTTTTGGGCTTAACTGCTCACTGGATCGAGAGGAATGACACCTCTGGCAATTGGACGCTTGTTTCGCAAGTCATCGGTTTCAGAGGTATATCTGCGGCACATGGTGGGTACAATCTTGCATGGTATCTTGTGGGATTGTATGAGCGTGTAGGAATTATCAATGGGCAGTCAAGCAAGGTATGTGCTTCACCATCTATGTTTTAATTTCTGTGTGCTGAGCTCTTGAAATAGCTTTTCTGTGTTACCGCTGACAATACTAGCAACAATGACACCACTTGCAATAACATCGAGATCCTGCTTCACCACCGCCATATGTACAACTTCAATCCCACTCAACACTGTCTTCCCTGCCTTGCCCATGTGGTCAACCTCTCTATCACTGATGTTATGTCAGTTGTCACATGCATTGCCAACATTGAGACTACAACTGCAATCTGGGAGTTTGATCCATCACTTCCTAATAACCGTGTTCTTGGAGACTTGCTTGATGTTGTGGTGGCGGTGTGTACACTTGTCATTAAGGTATGCTCTAGTAATGCTTGTAAGTTCTATCACCTAACATACCTTTATCTTACAGATTCAGTCCTCAGCGCAACACATTGAATATTTTGAAACCTTGCAAGTCAAGTGCAGTATCCTGACACCACTCAAAATCCCCCTCCACAGTAATGTATGCTGGGGAACTGCTAATGGAATGCTTGGATGCGCCTATCATCTATGGCAGGCTATCAATCTCTTTATCTCCTCTGCCGATGAGCTTTTTGGGCCAATCACATCCATCCGATGCCATGGGAAGGTCATCAAGCACATCCCATGGACTGCATTTACACTTAGGACATCGGACTGGGGGCAAGTGAATGATGTGTGAACTGTAATCTCAGTAGGTCGCAACTAATTTTTTTTGACTAAGACTTTTAGGATGCTAATGATATACAACAATACTTCTCCTCTGAATGACAACCAACATTATGGCGTGTGATACCTGCCATCAAGAAGTTACAGACAGCTTGGGAAGCAAAGAATGAGCTTTTACAGTTTGCGCTGTACAAGGAAGCCATCCAGAAGGGTCTTGCAAAGATCGGAAAGTACTATAGCAAACTTGATGATAAGCCTGTCTATGTTCTTGCCCTCAGTACATCTATCATATCATGTTGTATTTTTGACTAATTAAATTCGCAGTACTACACCCATACTACAAACTTGCATACATTGCAATGGCTTGGGGCAGTCCTGAAGAACAAGCCAAGGAACAAGCTGCGGGAAATTTGAACACTAAGAATTGGTATGATGAAGCTCTCAAGGTAGTCAAAACAATGATGGAGGAGTATTGGGCTGCCCATAAACCACTCACCAATACTGTCAACTGTGACTCAACAGTCGAGATTGTTGAAACCATTGAGTCTGAATATGATCGTCATTGCCACATGTTAGTTCAGCAGACAATTGAAGAGCAGAATTCTGGATGGGTGGCCGAGCTTTGCCATTACCTCAAGGACATGCCAGAGAATGTGTTATGGCTGTGTTTTACAAATTTCTTTTCTTCTTTTCCCTTGATACACGCTTATTACACATGTCTCTTATTAGTGTATATTTAGTTTGGTATGACTCAGATGCCTCATTGCTTACACATGTAGCTTACTGATCATTACCTATTATTATGTCACACCCTGTACCCTGTTGACTATATAAACCCTAGCTAGGTGATGCTGATTCTTCAGCTTAACCTATGCTGGTTTTCCTCTGAATACTCTGACTTGATTCTAAGTTACCTCTTCAGTACTTAGCCTCATTTGAATTGGACATTCTTTAGACTGTTGTCTAGAACATATTGACGGACCTTTGGTCTTATTGTTGATTGTTTGCCTGCATTATACTTTGGTGTAACAAAAGGTTAAGCTCTACCACAAGACGACACTACCCTGGTAGTCATCACGAAACATCATGGCTTACCAAGAATAAGAGAGACACTCTTCTGAGTCAGAACAAGAACACGAACATTTCTCTGAACCAGGATCCCCTATCCAGAATGAATACTTTGAAGGGTACAGACCAGACCAAGAACCAGGACCATCTGAACCTCCTGAACCTCCCCGTACACCAACCCCTCCACCACATGCACCTACTCCTCCTCCATCAGTCAGAAAGATGGGAGAAATCAGTTTGAACAAACCGGCTATCTTTGACAGATCACCAAAACTGGCAAAATCATGGTGGACTTCTGTCACCACTTACATTGCCATCAACGATGCCATCTATGACACAGATGCAAAATGCATTGCATTTGCTACATTGTTCATGCAGAAAGGACATGCACTCTAATGGGGCACAGCCTGGCTCAACAAGAAACATCCCATGACACACACTCTAGGAAAGTGGGGAGAATTTTCTCTCAAATTCAAGACAGTTTTCTTTCCAAAGAATGATACCTTAACCACCATCAACATGCTTATGAAAGCAAAACAAACATCTACTATCTCCACATACATAGCATACTTCAAACATATCACAGCAGAAGCCACCTGCGTTGACCCTGATGTCAAAACAACTTGTTTTAGACAAGGATTGAAGAAAGAAGTACAAGAAGCTATTCTTGCATGAGAGAAGATGCCCAACACAACAAATGCATGGATTGAAGTGGCAAGAGAGTATGAATCCAGAAGGCAACTCATAAAATCTGGAGACAGACATTACTCCAAGAAGAAAGATCCATATGCCATGGATGTTGACAGAATTGACATAGATGAAGAAGAAACCACCCAAGTATGCAATGCAAGGCTTTCACATTCTGAACAAGACAGACATTGGAAACTGGGGTTATGTTTCAAGTGAAGAAAGAAAGGGTTGATGAAAGATTGCCAAAACCACAGAGAATCTGCTCCAGGATGGCAGAAGCCCGCTGGATGACCCATCTGTGAAACTAAGATCAAACAAGATGATCAAGATGCCAAATATCAGGAATTCCTTGCTTGGAAAGCTTGGAAAGCATTGAAGACACCTTCTTCTTCTAAGAAGGATTTCTAAATGGGGAGACCGGACCGGCGTTGGAAACCCCTAGTACATCTATTGGACTCATTGTATCTTCTGTAGGTGATTCAAATTCTATGCGCATTCCTATTTCAATCGAATCCAGCAAGTCCAATAAAACCACCAAAGCAGCAGCTCTAGTCGATTCAGGAGCCACTGGAACCTTCATAGACTGGAAATACATTTGAAAGAACAACTTGTCAACTCACAATCTCTCTTCACAAATTGAAGTCCAAAATGTGGACAGCACTAAGAACAAAGCAGGAACTATTACCAAAGCATGCAACCTGTTCTTCTCAGCCGGTGGCTGTACCATGTTCGCCACATTCCTTATCACTTCCTTAGGAGGCGAAGACATTATCCTTGGACTTCCATGGCTCAAGAATGAAAACCCACAAATAGATTGGTCAAAAAGTGAACTATCACTAGAAGAAGACCCAATCATGATTCAGACTCTTATCGCAGACAGAGCTAAACACACCTCACTACAACCAAAAGTAGAAGAGGTTCTTGATGAAGAAGCGTCCATAACCTCGGAAGAAATTACCAAGGACATCCCTCAACTCACCCCTGAAGAAGAAGATGACCCTGAAGAAACAATCGAAGAACTAGCCGACGATGAAATTCTTATTGCTTATGTCAAAGGCGAAGAATTCATTGGGGTCTATGGGAAAACAAACTTTGACAACCTACTTACTCAAGAACATATTCCCCCAACGTTTTCTTTTGTCTCTTGAACAAACAGAATCTCAAAAGTCCAGAACTCTGCTAGATTCATCTTTACCCCTACTCCAATTCGCAAAGCAGCGAATGTTGCTCAACAACTTGCTCAAGAAGCTTATGTAAAAGAGAAACCGAAAACTTTTGAAGAGATGGTACCAGAGGTGTTCCATATGTATAAATATGTCTTCGACAAAGTGGCAATGGATACTCTTCCCCCCTCTCAACCCTTTGACCATAAAATAAAACTCAAACCTGATTTCAAGCCACGGTCATGCAAAATCTATCCATTGTCCGCACCTGAAGAAAAGGCAATGAACGAATTTGTCAATGAACACCTAGCAAAGGGAACTATCATACCATCCCAATCCCCACAAGCCTCTCCATTCTTCTTTGTAGGAAAGAAAGACGGATCTCTTTGACCATGTCAAGACTATCGCAAACTCAATGATGCAACCGTGAAGGATGCTTATCCCCTTCCCCATATTCCTGACCTCATTGACAAACTAAAAGGTGCTACTATCTTCACAAAGATGGATGTTTGTGCAGGATACAACAATGTCCATATTCACGGACCAGATAGATGGAAAGCAGCATTCAAAACATCAAGAGGACTCTTCAAACCCACCATCATGTTCTTTGGTCTTTGCAATGCCCCTGCAACCTTCCAAGCAATGATGAACAACATCTTTTCTGATATGATTGACGAAGGTTGGATGGTCATCTATATGGATGACATTCTTATTTTCTCTAAGGACATCAAATCTCACCATAAACGAACCATTTGCGTTCTGCAACGGCTATGTGACCACCAACTCTCCCTCAAACCAGAAAAGTGTCTTTGACACTGACAAAGTTGAATACCTAGGTCTCCTTATTCGCCCCGGCCATATTTGCATGGACAGAGTCAAATTGAACGGTGTTGTCAAATGGGAACAACCTACCACCGTCAAACATGTTCGATCGTTCTTAGGATTTGCCAACTTCTACCGTTGCTTTATAGCAGACTACTCCACCATTGCTCGACCACTCATCGATCTTACAAAAAAGGACACAATTTTTGACTGGTCTGACAATTGTCAGTCCACATTTACACAACTCAAAGAACATTTTCTATCCGCTCCTGTACTTTCCATCCCTGACAAAGACACTCCATTTGCAATAGCAGTCAATGCATCCCTTTACGCTACTGGAGGTGTTCTGCTTCAGAAAGATTCTAACAATGATTGGCACTCTTGCTCTTATCTTTCCCAAACCTTCTCTCCCACTGAACAGAACTACCAAATTTTCGATCAGGAACTCCTCGCCATCATATGCACTTTAGAAGCTTGGTGTCATTATCTAGAAGGGTCCCCGTTTCCAGTCTTGGTCATGACTGACCATAAGAACCTGACTTATTTCTGCCAAGCCCAGCAATTGAATCACAGACAAGCTCATTGGCTTCTGTTCCTCTCTCAGTTCAACCTCCAACTACAACACATACCAGGAAAGGACCTGTCTGTTCCTGACTCTCTCTCCCATCGTCCCGTTCATGTACCCACTGATGCCAAGGACAATTCTGATGTCACCATGCTGCCCGATGGGCTACTCATTAATCTCATTGACACTGCGGTGCACAACAAACTCTGCGTCTCATCATCCGTCGATGTTGTCATCCAAAAGACCATTGATGCACTATTGAATCCCACCCTACCCCTCCCTATGAAATCTATGTTGTCTGACTGGACTTTTGCGGACGACATCCTCATGTTTAAAGGTTGCACCTACGTTCCCCCCGGCCCACTTCGGACTGAACTCATTGTCCTTCACCATGACCACCCCACCGCTGGCCATCCTGGTCGTTTCAAAACCCAGGAATTGCTTTCTTGCGATTACTGGTGGCCTGGGTTGCCTACACTTGTTCGCAAGTACGTCGAAGGGTGTGCTGTTTGTCAGCCCACCACTCTGCCTCTTTTTCCCATTCCCGCCCCTTTTCTCAATGCTCGGTTGATCTTATCACTGATCTACCGCTGTTGCAAGGCTTTGATTATATCATGGTCGTGGTAGACCATGGACTTTCAAAGGGGGTGGTGATCACACCTTGCAACAAGATGATTGATGCAGAAGGAGTGGTCGACATATTCTTTAGACGTGTCTTCACACGATTTGGCCTCTACAACAAAATCATCTCTGATAGAGGTCCACAATTCACAGCCAAGTTTGCACAAGAACTAGGAAGACTCCTTGGATACAAAATATCACTCTCCACCGCATTCCATCCCCAAACTGATGGAGAAACTGAATGAGTAAACCAAGAATTGGAAGTCTACCCTTTGGATCTTCTGCGCAAACGATCAAACATCATGATCAGACATGCTTCCCATGGCCAAATTTGTACACAACTCCCGTCATCATTCTGCGCATAACACATCTCCGTTCTATCTTATGATGGGATACCATCCACAAGCATTACCATTGGCTGCCGAGAAATCAGATCTCCTAGCCATAGAAGCAAGAATATCAGAACTTCAGAAGGCTCAAGAAGAAGCCTTATCCTCACACGAACTCACTAGACAAACCATGAGGCAAAGAATCACTCGATCGTTCACACTGTTCAAGAAAGGCGACAAGGTTTGGCTAGAAGCAAAGAACCTTCATCTTAACCTACCCAAATAAAAAACTTGCACCCAAATGAGAGAGACCTTTCACTATCTCGGAAGTTCTCAGACCAGTCACATATCACCTAAAACTCCCGAACCAATGGTGTGTTCATCCAGGTATTCCACGCAGCGCTTCTAACTCCTTATCGTGAAAATGAAGAACATGGTCCAAATTTCCCATCACCACCTCCTGACCTTATTGACGGAGAAGAAGAAGATGAGGTAGAAGCTATCCTCGGACATAAAGGAACTCTCTCATGATGACGCTTCCTTGTCAAATGGAAGGGTTACCCATTGGCCGATAATGAATGGTTATCGGAGTCTGATTTAGCCAACTCTGCTGAAATCTTGAACAGATATAAGCAGGCACATCAACTCATTCCTTTCTCAACTCAAACCATCATCACCAAACCATTCAGACAATACCCTCTACTGGTGGACATAACTTCATCTCATCCAATGATGAAGATATAAACCTCATCATTATGCACAACAGCACCCCCAATGTTCCTATCCAGAATCTTCGCTTCCCTGTGTTCTCACCTCATCCTCATTACATGACTATTAGTCAAAGAAACTCTCCTGAGCCCCCTCATTCTTCATCTCCATTACCAGCGACTAGATCGCCTTCGCCATATCATATTTTCAACGAACCTATTATTCCCACTTTCATCGACACTCCCACCAGCCCCACTACAATTAGAAATTGTGAGCACGTTGCTGCCTGTCATAGAGCAGCTCCCTGGAGAGTAGCAACTGACCCCTACTTGTCCGATCTTGAAGATCATAGACTTTGTCATAGGATCATGCTTTCCTCGGGACTTTTCAAGAATCCTATTAAAGATGCCATTGATACCGAGCCTACGCTCAATGCCCTCTATGATCTCTACCGTCTTGGAGATTGTCTTGAGAGTACCTTAGAAAGGTATAATGGCA